CTCTACATCTCCCAGGTCATCACCTGCGTTCCTGAATTGGATACCCCACATAATTTCGCTATGTCCCTCCCTCGCAAGATCGGCTCTAAGGCAATACACCCTCGAAGACCGCTACAGATAGCACCTTGAATGAACACAACATGCAAGACGTCCAACTCTCTTCAGCCATTGAACAGTCGATCGCAAGAAGGTTGTCTTTCTCTCAGCAAATTCTTCATTCAGCCGTGCTGCAACAAAACTAATTAGATTAACCTCTTGCGTCGCATCGTCTAATCCTTCAAAATCTTCGACCATGCCACGCTTTATTCTCTACTCTCGTTGACCGCGGAACCTGGACGCACCCGATTTGACTATGCGCTCCGACCCGGTCGTTAGTTGACACGAACAGTAACGTCACTCAAACTACATTGCTCGCGTCACGCGGTCTCCTCTCCTCATCGCTCGTTCTCACCGGTGATGAAAACTACATCCATGTCGGCATTCCTTGTTCCATACCCGCTGACTTCGAACGCCCTCACCTTCGACAACTCTGTTGTAACTTACGGAAACGATCTACAACTCGCTCCCGTGATCGCCTACGCTAAAAGCTATGTAAAGATCTTTCGAGTGTTTTGAGTTGAGAGAATGAAATTATGAGAGGATTAGAAAGCTATAAAACTAATCAACGAGAGAATCACAATCAAAGGATCGTAGATCTGAACTCCCGCGGGAGACTGTAAAGGGATAGAGAGGTGCGTACATCCTACTCTCTCCACATCCAAAACGAACGCGGAAATTCGCTAGCATTATCTATTACGTGGAAGTGCTCCACGCGTAAATATCTAGACGATGTTCATCACAACCTAGTATACTAGAGCGTTCATTGAAACCTGGCCAATGATTCCGAGAGACTACGTCATGAGTCGAACTCAGACCTACTAGGATCGAGTGCGAATAAGCTAAAGCCGGTATTGCATTCGCCCCGACAGGCGAAGGCACGACATCAGTCGGACAAGGAGAAACTATGAATTAAAGTGCGGGCACTCTCCGGAGATTGGATGTAGACATGTGCGTCCACCGATGGATCCTACAAGGGGATGTGGCCTTGTATGGGTGTAAATTACTTATGTTCCAAGTCTGGTAGACTGTGCCGCTATTGGCGGTAGTAAGTCGGAGCCGTACAGTGCCATTGTTATTGACTCGGTCTGTGTGGTAGGACCTTTGGCTGACCGTACTAAAGGTTCTGATACTTATGAATCATTATAGTGTCGGTGACATGGTGTGGACGAGGGGCACGTGCCGTGTTCTCCTAATCGGTGTTTTTCGGGATAAGTCCGGTTGGCCGACGTTCCTTGAATGTATTCCGGTTTGCTTTGAAACGGGTGTGGGGAAGCTTGTCACCATTGACGCGCGTGAACTTGCGAAGAAGTCCATGTTCATCCCGGAGGTTCTTCTCGACCTCTACCCGGGACTCACGGTCTTTGTCCATGACGACCGGTCATGGATGCTGGTTAACCTACGTCTGGTTCATAACGATGGTTACTCCGTCTGCTGTCTGGAGCAGCCCTTGGTAGTTCATTGGTCCAATGAATCTACGAAGTTATTTCCTGTTGGTAGGAAGAGCGATATCTGGATCGCGTTTGTTATATTTGGTTTAGAGTTGGCTTCCTTCTCGAGAAGGTCAATTGTCTAGATACTCCAGTTTTTCCTATCGAGGAAGGCCTTGGTAATGTTGATTTCAATCTGACTTCTTGGAGTCTTTGGGGAAAGGTCATCATACTGTTCAACGCGATCTGCGAGGTAGACGTTCGTTAGGATGAGTTGATCGTGGTGGCAACGTTGCACGGGAATTTTCTAAGTCATGCATGCGTGCCTTCCATCTTCCTTTTGGACAGGGGTCGGGAATATTAATAGGCATTGGCAACCTCTGTACTCGTACTTTCCCCACTGGAGTACGATGGTACAAGAGTTGTTTGAGTGAGGTGACAGCTCTGATGTGATAGTATCCCATTTTTAGGTCTAGATTAGTAGCGTACTTGAATCCATCTAGATTCAAGGTCATGTCCTGTATTTTTGGGATATAATAAGGCTTCCGCTTAACCCTTTTGTTCAGTTCCGGAAATTAGAGATGAATCGTGCAGAACCATCTTTCTTGGGAATGATGAAAGTTGGTGCGGCCCAATCGGAACGGTTTACCTTTTCTTGAGTACTCCCGTCTCGCAGAGACGTTCAAGCTCCTTCTTAAGAGTGTTAGTGTGGACTCGTGGAGTAGGGTGAGGCCTAGTGTAATAGGATTTACCGTCGGGAACGAAGTTTTACTTCGTAGTTGTCCATTCGCAACTCTCCCAAAGTTTCCTCGACTGGGCCGAAGCTCTTGGTTAAAAAGGCATGAGGCAGTTCTTGCTCTTACTTGTTTAACGGATTTCGACTCTGGAATTGCCTTAATGCTATTTGTTCGTATGTCGTATACAAGACTTTCTTGAGACTATCTGCATTGTCCCTGACAGCTGCAGGATCGGGAAATGAGAAGTTCTCCTTTCTATTGGAGTTGTTCTCTTTCGCCGGGGAAAATGCATGGTTCCACTCCATTGACATGGAAGTGAAATCAAACTTGATTCTTTGATCGCAGAGAGTGTCATGACTCATGATCACGTCATTCGCCCCCAAGTTCTTGGTGACGTGTAAATCCACTTGATAATTCTATCATCGTGGAACTCAGGAATCGAGAGTGTGGCCCTTACACTTCGTGAGGGGTCTCAATTCTTTCATAGAAGCAGTCCGTGATGCTTGGACGCCCCCATGATTCTTCATGAGTAAACTCTTAGTATGAGTTTGAGCAATTAAGGTTCCGGATGCTTCTGTTTTCAGTAAGCAACAGAGTGTAACGGGTTTTTTGTTTCCCTTTCGCTCGCCTGTTGAATCTAACATAGACGATAGTTTCAAGGTCTCTTGTCGTGCGACGTTGATGAGTTGATTGGCCATGGACGAAGTTAACGATGCCGACATAGATCGTTAGTTTCTAGTTGAGTAGTTACTGGGCAATTATCTAATTTTGCCGTGACTTCGTTGTTGCACACAATCCTTGTTTATTATTTAGTGAGATATCTTATTCACTTAGGTATGAGAATCGGAACATGGTTCCGTTGAATCATCCTGGCCTAATCTTCAGTCGGAGATCTCTCCGTCCGTATGATTGAAGTCGAATTCCGCAAGCGCCTTGTCAACAGCGGCCATCTTCTTGTCATCATGTTGATGGATCCAAAAAAACCCCCAGAAAAAAAAAAAAAGGGGAAAAAAAAAAAAAGGTTTTCGTCCTCGTTGTCGGAGTTGTCAGACTTTGCGCTTGGCAACATGGTTGCATTCGATTTTCTTCTTGCGATCAGCCTTGAATGCAGCGTTGGAAACCTTTTCATGAGGACAGAGAGTTCTCTTCTTTGTGTAGGTCTTGGCGTAGTCGGAATTGCGTTTCCAATTCTTGTTCTTGTTTTACGCTGGCTTGTTTTCGTTGTCTGACGAGGACTGAGACTTGGCTTTGAGCTTCTTCAAAGTCTTGCAGTCCGCAGTGTTGTGAGTGCTGGATTCGTGTTAGTCGCACCATTTTTTCTTCGTTCTTGGTAGATTGGTCGTTGTTGCGCGTAGACTTGTACTTCTTGCAGTTGTGTCTCTTCGTAGGAGCTTGCTTGGCAAAATGTACTTGATGTGTAGGAGCGAAGTGTGGGAATCGATTTTGTGTATTGTGAGATGGTACAGTTTGGCAACTGTGAGTCGAGTCATTCGTCGAAGAACCCATGAGGGTTCAGGTTTGCGTGGAAGGATAGGGATCAGGATCGTTGTCCTCTTTTGCGTGCGGCTGCTCGACAACTTTCATGCACGCCATTATCAACACTCTCTATCATCCTGTCATCAATATCGTCGGTAGCACGGCTCCAAACGTTCAGATAAGCAGGGTTGGTTCGATTGATTATTTAGTTGACGAGAGCACATTTCTCAAAGGGCAAGTGAAGCTTCCACATGCGCAACCAAAGACTGCTATCAGATGAAGTAGCTTGTAATCTTTCAATTACTATTTATGTACAAAGGTTGTGGGACTACGTTTCGTTTGCCTTTGAGCTTTCGTTGCCCTTGGCAGTCTTCCACAGCAGTGATGCCATCCAATAATCATATGAACAAACTCGGCAAAGAGCATCACGCATCACATCATCAACAGCTCACCCACCAGGAAGAAATGTGTATTGCTGCATCAGCCAATTTAGTTCATCAAGTGCTCCATGATTCCCTTTCCGTCGGCCAATTCTTGAGCCATAAATCCAGCAGCGGCAAGCATAGCCAGACGGCCATTTTGGAGTTCCTTGTTTTGGAGGACCAAAAGCTCCTCAGGGTCCTCAGGCTTCAAGCCAAGAGGATCAAATCCAATGTCACCAGGGGTGTATTCAGCACGCAAGAGGCCTGGTTGGTCAACAGGGACATTGGAAGGTTCAACCCAGCCAATTTCGGCACGCTTTTGTTCAGAAGCACCAATTCCAGTTGCCAACAGAGCCCAGAAGAGAGGAGGGACCTGGGTAAGGTGGGTGATGGCAGGACCAGTGACACTGGCATCCCACAAGAAAGATGATCCCTCAACAGCTTCTCCGGCCAAGAAACCAATAGTGGCAAGCATGGCAACACGTCCATGGGTGAGCTCAGCCTCACGGTATCGTTTGAGGGTCTTCTCGTCAGCCTTGGCAGCAAATCCAAGAGGATCCCAGATGCCCATAGGCTCAAGAGCTCCAGGGATAGTTTCAACAGTGAAGGCCTGTAATGGTGTGATGGTGTGCCATGAAGCAAATAAGTCAGTTGCTTGATTTCCAAAACACATTTCTTCCAATTCTTTATTGAATGATGAAACTTACAGGGGTGGCAACAGCAGCAGACTTCTTGGCTCCGCTGAAGGGGCTGAAAGCACTGGCAGAAGCAGCGAAGAGGGTGATAGCAGCAGCAAACTTCATTTTGATTGTTATTGTTTGGCTTGGAGATTGTTGGTCGATTTTGTGAGGCTTTCCCTTTCGTCCTCGAAAAGCAATCGGATTGATGACTGTTACATCATCTGTCAGATTGCAGCCACGCACGGGTGGCTACCAATGGAGCGATTATAGGTGTGCAATGAACTGCCACTGGCTGGAGGAGTCAGTGACGATGACTCACCGCACAATAGCTAATGATGGCTGGTAGATCTGCATGTGAATAGTTCTATCGGCCACAAACAACCTACTGAGTAAAAGGGAAACTGATGCGTTGTGAGTAGACTACCTCAGATGCTTGCTCAGAAACCAGGGATGAGTCACAACCGAGCTGACGATGGAAACTGCAGTTGGTCCTCGCGACCGTGGCAACTCTGCAGAGGTCCGCAATCATGATTTGATTTGATTTGATTTGATTTTGACAGTTTTAGGAGTCCTCCTGAAACTGGTTTCACAAGTGTGAAATTGAAACTAGTTTCACGGGAAAATGTGAAAATAGTTTCACATGGTTGAAACTAGTAGGGAAACTTTGTAGATTTGTACAGCGGGTTTTCACAAATTGGTGAAACTAGTTCCACCCCTGTGACACTGAAACTGAGTTTCTACCGTTCTGAATATGGTACCATACTGGTACAGCTTCACCACTGTCACTCGTGCGTTTCTGGACGTTGCTTTGTTAGACAGGTAAATATGGTAATAAATATTTTTGTTTCAAATATGCAGAGTAAACTGCATCTTTACCCCTATATTTACCGCATGTACCCATAAAATGCTGACTTCTAGGTCAGTTTCGCGTGTGGCGCATTGATGCTGACGTACTAGTATGTGTATTCGGAGGGAGAGTCACTGTTCTCGTTTGGAGCTCTTCCGGTTCAGGTAGTGACATAAAATCGGTGCTCCTCAGGCTCTCCTATTAATATGCTAGGCCAATTAAAATGAGATCTTGCAAACTAGATCTTAAATCATTAATGATGGGTGCTATGACCCTTATTATCATTTGTGAGTGATCCAGGGAAGACCAAGGAGCCATGGAGCAAAAAGTATTCGGAAACTATTGCTGTCGGCATTAGTGTTAAAATAGTAGCTTAGATCTTATTTATTTTTGCCTGGTTGTCTGGTAATACATCACTTCCAAAAGCAGAAAAGCAGAAAAGCAGCCCACAGGTGTGCTAGAGCTTCCGTACAAAATAGTTAGTTCATTGCCAGAAAAGAAGGAGTCGAGTCCACCATGAAGGTCCTATTCGAAGACGAGCCGTCTCCTGTCGCCACCCACGAGGAAGAAGATGACAGAGATGACAGTAGTGGCATGGGTTTACAGGAAGACGACGACAATGAGTCTGGTGTTTTGACGCGAGAAAGGATTGCGCAGAGGGAATCGCAAGCGGTCTTTTATCTTCGCCTGATGGTCATGGCAGTGCTGGTGGCCTCGGCAGCGGCGGTGGTCGTGGTGACGTATCTGTACATGAGTGGTGCGGAACAAGACGAATTCGAACAACGCTTCCACTCGGATGCCGATAAAGTGTTGGAAAGTGTGGGAAAGACGTGGGATCAAGTACTGGGCGCCACGGACGTGTTTGTGCTGCAGCTCGTGGCGTATGCACGGGTTTCCAATAGCACCTGGCCCTTTATCAATATGCCCAATTACAATCTCCATGCGGGAAAGCTGTTGAAACTGAGCAAGGCATTTGTGGCCCTTACGGGTGTCTTTGTGGAACCGGAACAACGAGATGACTGGGAACTATTTGCGAGTCAAAACTTGGATTGGATTGAAGAGGGAAAACGCATTCAAGAAATTGACCCGGATTGGAACAAACCCACCGATTTCAATAATACCATACACTACAAACTATGGGCCTTTGAGGGACAGACAGTTGGAGAACCGCAGCCTTACCTGAACAATTGTAAGAAGCACGTCCTCACACTATGATACACGACACTATGTGCTGCACTGGGCTCTCACCTTTTCTCCATTCATTCATTCATTCATTCGTTCATTCATTCCTTCGATCAATCTCTCTCTCCTTGCTATGCATGTAGACCTCCCCTTGTGGCAACAGCACCCGATCATTCCCGAATTTGGACAACAACCCATGGCCGTCAATTGGGATGCTTGGTTTCTGCCAGCAGCCTCCAAAGGAATTGAGGCTGCGGCCAAGAACCAAGTCGCTGCATTGGTTCCAGCCGGTAATATCGCCATGAACCAAAGCAATGACTTTGAAGTCTTCTTCAAGAAGTATGCCGATACGTTCACGGAACAATACGTTGACTTGAAGGAAGGAGAAGCTATTGGACCCGTCGGCACCATGGCATATCCCATGTAAGTATGACCAAACCAAACAACTTTTGTTTGTTGTCTCCGTCGATCTGTTTCATGCCAAAGTTTCAGTTTCTAAACTCTTTTGCATTATTATTTATTTGCATGCACACAGCATTGACTCGTTGGATGCCATTCGACTCAATCGAACACAACTAGACAGTAATAAAGTGGTGGGAATGCAGCTTTTCTTCTTTCGATGGAGAAACATGCTCGTCGGCTTGCTACCATCCGACTCACAGGGCATTGTCGTGGTTGTCACCAATCCCTGCAAGTATCCATTCACCTTTCAACTCGACGGCAACGATGTCATATACCTAGGTCCCGGAGACCTACACGACACACAGTTCGACGACAATCCACTCCTGAGTCAACACGTCTCGCTCTTTGACATTATGCAATCCACAAAGGAATCGGAAGATGGAAGTGCCTACACGGGCGTGCCGCTGTCCACATCGTATTGTCCACAAACCATTCATATCTATCCTTCCCAATCCATGCAAGACAAATATGTGACCACCGATCCACTCGTGTTTACGCTCGTAGCACTCTCCATCTTTTTGTTTACATCGACACTCTTTCTGGTGTACGATTGCATTGTCGCACGACGACAACGAATCGTCATGGAACAGGCCATTGCATCGGGAGCCATTGTGAGCTCACTATTCCCCGAAAAGGTCAAGAATCAACTCTACAAGGAACAAAAACAGGAACACAAAAAGGAACAATCCATGATGCACTTTTTGCAAAACCGTGATGATGATGATCAGGATGGTGTTGCTCCTGGTTCCTCCAAACCCTTGGCCGATCTATTCCATAATACGGTACGGAAGTTTTACGAGTCCAGTCGTCACAAAAAAGGCAGGGCTGGATCATACTCACTCCTGTTTTGCTGGCCCACAGACAATCTTCATGGCCGACCTAGCTGGTTTTACTGGTGCGTAACGTCTTGGGCTGGGCAAGTTCTCAGGTTCTCACAGTACGGTACTGGTTTCTCACCTTTTAATTGTTCCCCTACCAGCTTGGAGCTCCAAGAGGACACCCTGTGAAGTGTTTGAAATGCTGGAAGCACTGTATGGCAGCTTCGATAAGATTGCCCGGCAACGCAAAGTGTTCAAAGTCGAGACAATTGGAGATTCCTACGTTGCTGTTACCGGTGAGTTGGTGTCGTTTGTTCTCACAAAGCACGATGGAGCCTGTTTTCTGACTACAGTTTCCACTATTGGACTCTCTTATACTCTTCAGGCATTCCCGAGCCTCAGGCACAACATGCTGCCATAATGGTACGATTCGCTCAAGACTGCATTGCCAAGATGAGGATTGTTACCAAGGAACTGGCTGAACATTTTGGAGAGGATACCATGGTAAGACTTGAACTTGCAAAAGCACCATTCGGCACAAGATTCTTTTGGCTTATATCTCTCCTTTCCTCCTTGAAGGACTTGGAAATGAGAGTCGGACTGAATTCCGGTTCTACCACAGCGGGTGTGTTGCGAGGCGAGAAGGGTCGGTTCCAGCTGTTTGGCGATACAATCAATGTGGCCAGTCGCATGGAGTCCAACGGCGTCAAGGGGCGCATACACGTTTCACAAGCAACAGCGGATGCACTTATTGCTGTAGGAAAAGGGCACTGGTTGACTCCTCGAGTTGATAAGATTGTGGCCAAAGGCAAAGGGGAAATGCAGACCTACCTTGTGGATGTTTCGCCATCCAAGGCACTCAGTTCCGGTGGCACATCGACAATATCACGGTCGTCGAATAGTGGTGCAAGGTCGAAGGAGGAAGGAGTGTTGGCCGCGAGGCCGCCGAAGGAATCCAGAACTGGGAACACATTGAATTTGGACTTCAAAGCGGAGATGTGGGTGTAGTACTAACAGATAGAATGTATAAGCCGTATGGCATGTCCTTGTACTCTTGCATGCAGTGATATTATCTAAGGGATTCATGTGGTTAGCTAGACTGGACTCCCTGCGATGGTCGCTACCGTTGTATCTCAGACTGGAGCCAGGGAGAACGTGACAATGGCTCGACTCTAGCTGGGACCACAACTCCTGGTCCATCTCCAAGCGCTACTCGTAGTGTCTGAACCGCTCATAGATTGCTAGCTTCCGGTATGGAAGGCAGACCAAATGTATGTGATATGTGCATCTGTTTATATTGTTTTACATCTAGAACATGAACTTTTCCTATATATCATCCATCTATGGGTTTTGGATTTTCCCGCCTTCTAAGAGCACGCATGTGCATGCTGCTCTTTGAACCCCTTCCCCGCAACCAGCTCGTTGTTTGATTGGTTTACAAAGGAACGGGGGTCAGGTCATCCACATCGTAGAAGGCAACCGAGTCGAGACTGCCATCATCGTTATCGTTGTTGGCGGCGGCAAAGACAAGAGACGTAGGGACTGGAGCGGGAGCGGAAACGACCTGTTGCTGGGCGGTGCTGGTGGAAGAAGAGCAGGAAGAGAGTTCCTTTTTGGTCATCTTGCGTCGAGCAATTTTGTTCTTGGCACTGCTCAGGTAGTGTCCGGACAAGCAATCCCTCAAGTAAGTTCCCACCTTTTCTCGGGCGGTGCGTTCACTGACGGCATACCACCTGCCATTCTGGGGGCTGATAAAGCAGACACCGTCAAGGCAGTCTTCTCGAAGAATGTTCATGACCTTGGAGACAACAGCGGACTTTTCAATCTTTGTGGGAGCGCTGCCGTAGTCTTGGGTGAACAAGTCACAGACACGACGGAAGCGTGTGTTTCCCTTGCTTTCAAAGTACTTTCTCTTGTTTCCGCAAATGATGGAAGTGTCGGCAGGTTCAAAGTCAGCGGGCAAGAGACGCTTGGTCTTGCTGATGCTACGGGGGAGGTTGTCCTGGCAGATGGTGGCTGGAGAATGAGAGGCGCTGTTGCGACCATCAGTGGATGCTTCAGAGGGAGCGGCGGCAACAGCCGCGGCTGCAGGTGCGGAAGCAGGGAATGCAATGAGTGGTTCGAGGAGGGTATCATCAGCATCAATGTCAATGACAGGAGCGGAGGATCCCATGAAGGGAGCGGAAGTAGGAGTCACACGTGAGGTTGTGTTGTTGATGTTGGAGGTCGTGGTGATGAAAGCAGGGATTCCATTGCTGAGCTGTTGCTGTGGTTGGCTCAGTGGCAAGGATGGAACCTGGGAGCAACCAGGGAAGTTGTTGCCAGCAAAGAATGCCTGTTGTTGTTGCTGCTGCTGTTGCATGTTCAAGGTCATGTTCATGGCATTCATGAGAGTATTGGAAGGTTGGAACTGCATGCTGTTGCTGCTATTGATGTTGTTCAGGTTGTTCATGTTGCACTGGTTGGCGTTGAACTGGAACTGGTTGTTGTTGGAGCATGCCATGCCGTTGTTTGCGTGGAAGTTTAGTGCGGGCTGGACCTTGGAAAAGTTGAATCCTTGGGCTCCCATGGTGTTATTGCCGAAGTTTCCCATGCCATTGTTATTGCAGTTGTTCAAACTTTGTTGTTGCATGAACCCAGGCTGCATCTGAGCTGCTAATCCATTGTTACCCACAAAGTTGATGGAATCTAGCTTTCCTTGGACCTGGAGGGGATCAAACAGGGAGTCGCAGTTGTCGTTTCCATAGGGAAAGTTGTTTTGGTTGTTGTATGCCATCATTGTTCGATAGAAGTGAAAGCTATGAGATGCTAGAGTAGAGTAGAGTAGAGGATTGCGAGTGCTTTGGCTTGGTCCTTGTCGGTGTGGATCTTTTCTCTCTTTGGTTGCTTGCTCGAAGAATTTTGTGAGCCTTGAATGAGAAGACGATCCAAGGCCAAACAGCATCAGACGGTGGCTGAGATGGTGCTGAGATGTGCTGGTTCTTCTCAAATTTTGTGGCGGTATCGAACCACTTGAATTTCGGGATTGTATTTAAGGGCCGCCAAACCCGATTTACAGTTTCCGTAAGAAGACACTGTCAACTGCAGTACCGGACATCAAAGTCTAGCACTTACTACTTATGTGTCTATTTCTTGGAGAAGATCAGATTGAGGAGAGCTGTCTATATTATTTAAGAGTTCAATACCGGACTTCACAACTAAGAAATGAATGATACCGTTTAGAACCCTGGACAATCATCAGTGCACTTCAATCCCTAAATACAAAACCGACCCGGCAAAAGAAAACCACAACTAAGAAAGTACGACATGCACCTTTTGTACCGATTAGGGGCACCTGTTTTACCAAAATGTGCCTGCAGGTGGTACTGTGGACATACGACATTCTGGTCAGCTGTGACAGAGCTTGTGACAGTCTGTATGCGCTGTTCGCGATACGAAGTATTTACCTTTTTTCACTTACTTTCGTGCGTCTCCTTCTCTTAATGCAATACTCAAGTAGAGAAGAGCTTAAGTACGTGAGCAATCTTGCCAAAAAGCAGGAAGGCTTTCGGTATCGCATGACATTGTCCCGTTATTTGACCTCAATGACGGCTTGGTTGCAGCTGTTGCAGCGAATTTCTGGCGAATTAAAGAAAGACTTTTACACGTTTTGATCACCTGTTTTATCAAAAAGCAACTTTACAGAGTTAATTAAGGATGACATTCAGCCAAAACCGTCTATATTCATCCCGCTGAAGCTAGCCAAGTAATGGCTTAAGAGCCGAGAACCGGTTTTTCGAAAAGTTTTCTTTTTCAAAACCATCGAGCACTTGCGAATAAGTTCATTAAGCAGTACTAGTACTGGTACTCATTAGCTCAGTTTGTTGGATTGCCACGTGCTCTCGAATCCTCGAATAGAACGTCCTGCGGCGACGAAGAACGCTACAAAAACTACTAAAAGTTCTTGTAAACCCGTTTTTCCTACCGGTATTGCTCCTAGCCACTTAGCAGCTCTGGCGCTTTGGTAGCTGTTAATTAACAGACCGCCGATACCCCTACCGCTAGCAACCCATTCTGATTGGCCTGTGTGGCCGTGTGGCCTTGTTACGGTGTAGTTCGCCATTCCATAGAGGAGGCCTTCTATGCATACTAGGGGATGGGCAAAATTTGCAATAGCCCTGTATTGTATTGGAGTGTGACTCGCCAAAATCAGTTAAAAAGACAAAATTCGTATTTTTGCCGGAAGATAAATTTAATTGGATTGCATTGGATTGGATTGCATTGAATTGGATTGAATTGGATCCCAAATAGTACTGTTATTTATATAGTAAACTGTAATTCAATGCAATGCAATCCAATCCAATGCAATCCAATCTAGTCCAATAGAGAAAAACAGCCAAAGTAAAAGATTGGCTTAGCCCACACAATTTTTACAAAAACGCTCTAACAAATTCAACACAGAGCCATGGGCAAGTTTGCTCATCCCCCTAGTACTCCAGTACTCCGGTACATAGCGGTAGTTTCGGCTGCTGCGGCACTCCAGCGTTGCGCCTCGCGGCCGCTCGGAATTGAATTGTTCCAGTGCCTGATAATCTACTAGTAGTCACCAGGTCCTATTACGATACCGTCACGGTTCATAGAGCTGTTCATAGCGACCTCAAGCCAAAGCCAAGCATACAACCTGCATGCTGTATGCACAATAATCAATTGTGAGCTGGTCACCCAAGCACGCACCCACAGCGTCAGTGGCTCATCCAGCAGAGCAGAAAGTAGAATCGAATCGAATCGAATCGAATCTTACGATGTAATTCAAACGTTTTGTGGCTGTATGCAGTCCGAGCGACGGTAACAAATTGAACGTTGCGTGCCGCCGTAAAGCCGAAAGGTGCTTTTGCTTGAAGATCGCCTGGAAGCAGAAGTGGATCTAATCCGATTAGGATGGCAACGAATGTTGCTGGTTTCTGCCGGTACCCTTACGGATGGAAGCTGTGCGTATACTGAGCACCCTGCTGATGATGCTCGTTTACCGGAGAGAACCCTCTGCAATGAGGCCTCTTCGAACGCCTGCTCTGGAAGGATGCCTTTTGCCAATACAGTACATGTAGAAGTGGACGTGTCGGACGTAGCTAAGGTCCTGGGATCACAAAAAGAAGCCTCCAGGGCCACCAAGAACGTTGGCAAGATTGCTGTTGTTTTGCTGCGACGCCCATGCGTCCAGTTCCGCTGGAGTGATGCCAGGTATGGTTGCCAAAGGAGCCCGTTGGTGGAGGCGCTCAAGAAGGTTCCAAAAATTATCCAAATAGTCTATGGGAAGCTTCGTTGTGGAAGTTGTGATAGAAAAGAGGAGGAACAACACGTCAAGGTGCGATTGCCTGTAGCAGTAAGTACGAAGTTGCACGCACTCGGCAAGGGAGATTCTATCACTTCTTGCTTCCATGCTGGAGGAATAGGAAGTTTGTGTGAACTCACTCCAGCTAGTTTCCTTTGATGCTTCAGGAACGAGTATTTGTGCTGATGTACAGGACTTCAGAACTTGCCTACAGTTGAAAAGAAGCAGCCATTTGGTTTCCTCGGCACTAGCTAACAAGCAGAGCTCAAGTAGTTGGCTGACAGTTATTATATTATGTTCGGTCTGTATTCATAGACTAGTCCGATCCTTGTGTACTTCAATTCTCCGACGGGACCCCTGACATGAATAGTGTACATCAGAGTCAAGTGTTCACTTCTTTACGATTGGCTGCTTGTCTACTGTGGCACCTTAGCATCGAGGAACAAGACGTCACATGCAATGTGCCACCCGTAGCTCAAGCAGTATGACACAAGGTGCACGCCCCAGGCAACAAAGATTCTGTCGAGTTCTTTCTTCCATATTTGTAGGATATGGAGTTTGTTGGAAGTTGCTCCAGCTAGTTTGCCTTGTTTGTTGCTTCAGGAACCATCATTTTGTGCTGACTTACGATACAGGACTTCAGAACTTGCCTACAATTGAAAAGAACCATTTGGCTTTCTTCAGCTCAAGCTATGTACTCATAGTAGTTGGTTGCACATCCAGTTATTTTATGAACAGTATGTATTTCATAGTCCGATCCTTGTGTACGCCAATTCTCTGACCAGACCCCTGACATGAATAGTGTACATCAGAGTCAAGTGTTCACTTCTTTACCATGGCTTATCTACTTTGGCACCTGGTTGGCAAAATGACGCTTGGGAGCACCCTCTGGAGGATCATTCTTAATGTCACACACCAAGGTAAAGTTGAAGTCTTGCCACTGATTGATTCGATTAATCATGGTGGCACCTTGCAATACATGTTTTTTCATGGGTTCAATGTGGCTGGCCCAAGCACTTTGCAGGGTAGGAGTGTTCCCATTTCGAATAGACGATCGAGCCGTCACAGTGGCGTGGGCAGCAGCTACAAAGGCTTGGGTATCGGGGCAGCTATAACCCAAATGCTGCAATTTGACCACGAACCCAAAATTTTCGTGTTTTCCCGCCAAGTCTTCCTTCTTGTACGGGAATTGGGTTAGATCGACTTGTTGCTGTTTCTGGTAGGGTTGGTCCTGATGCTGCTGCTGTTGCACACTGCGTTTACTGTCGTCGGCGGGTTCGTCGGCCATAAAGGGAATTTCCGATATGTTTCGTCCGATCCACAAGTGGGCATCATCGAGCTTCCAACCATCTCGAGTCTCGTAGGAAACGATTAGTTGTTCCGGATTGCGTTGATCGGCTTCCACACAGACATTGCCAACGGCGATCGTGTGCTTGGCCCATAACGTTTGGCACTGAGAGGCACCACCATTCTGCATGACCAACTTGACGCTGCCCAAGACAAAAGTCTTGGGAAGCAACAAGAGAAGTGCAGCAAGGGTCGTTGATGATCGAAGAAGAACTGTCATGGTGGTAGAATAATGAGCCCTGCTATACTGACTATTTGGTCACATCCTTCGTCTCGAGCTGCCGTTGTGAGAAAAATTGGTGTTGCTGCGTCTGTTGCTGCCAAGACTTGCTTGGTTGCTGGCCATTCGTAAATGTCTTCAGATTAGCGTTAAGGCTATGACCGCCCAGGTTTCCTGTCCCTGTTTCGGTGCTATTAGCTACGGTAGCTACTAGCACTACTAGCTAGTAGGGGTACAGCCGTACCTGTTACGATTACGGGGATGAGCAAACTTGCCCATGGCTCTGTGTTGAATTTGTTAGAGCGTTTTTGTAAAAATTGTGTGCAATAAGTCAATCTTTTACTTTGGCTGTTTTTCTCTATTGGATTTGATTGGATTGCATTGGATTTGATTGGATTGCATTGAATTACATTTTACTATATAAATAACAGTACTATTTGGAATCCAATTCAATCCAATTCAATGCAATCCAATCCAATGCAATCCAATTCAATTTATCTTCTGGCAAAAATACGAATTTCGTCTTTTTAACTGATTTTGGCGAGTCACACTCCATTACAATACAGGGCTATTGCAAGATTTGCCCATCCCCTACCTGGAAGGTCCTGAAACGGGACTCAAACGACAGTTTCACGCTTTTGGTTAGTTTCACGCTTTTGGGTTAGTTTCACGCTTTTTGTTAGTTTCACCCTTTTTGGTTAGTTTCACGCTTTTTTGGTTAGTTTTCACGCTTTTTTGGTTAGTTTCACGCTTTTGGGTTAGTTTCACGCTTTTTGGTTATTTTCACGCTTTTTTGTTATTTTCACGCTTTTTTGTTTATTTTCACGCTTTTTTGTTTATTTTCACGCTTTTTGGTTATTTTCTGTTTTGTTAGTTTCACGCATTTTTGGTTAGTTTCACGCTTTTGGTTGTTTCACGCTTTTGGGTTAGTTTCGCTTTTGGGTTAGTTTCAAGGAAATGGTGGTCCATGTTGGGTGAAACTAACAAAAAGCGTGAAACTAACCCAAAAGCGTGAAACTAGTCCCATTTCAGGACCTTTCTGTAGGAAGGGCCGCTCGATGTCATGCTCCACTGCATGGATGCTATGTCCGTTCCCCAAACCCCCCTTGCTTCTGCTGCTTTGTGATGTTCAGGTGACCGAAAAAACACAATTTCGCTGAAAGCAGGATTGGACGTACATGTACAGGGCAGCTGCGGTTGTAAATACCACAGGAGAAACCCTAGCTACGTGTACAAGACAAAAGGATAACCCCCAGAAAGATGCTAAAAATCTTGCCGAAAGTACGCGACTCGATAACCAGAACTCGGCATGGATGCTTGTCTCTTTCAAACGCAGCCAGGATTAGCATTCTCTCACTTTTTGCTGCATTTCATCAGTCAGCTTTTCCATGTCCTCTTTGTGTGACCCCAGCTCTATCCCAAAAGATCCTCTAGGGGTGTGAGCTGTCTTTGTGTGACCGGGGCTGTCGGCTACTCTGATCGGCTCCACAAACTATCTAGATCTCGGTGGTCTGTGCTCTCCACGCTCCGCGCCTGCTTCCGAGACATAGATCTTGAACAAAAAGACTCAACGAAAACTTATGATACTTAAAGTCGATTTGCCGAAATGAGCTAGCACGTGACAGGTTTTGCTTTCTACTAAGTACTGTACAGTAGCTAGCTACAGTACTACTCGCGGCTGTACATGTGACTTGCCAACAGATACTCAGTAGGTATTATCATAGCGCTGCCAGGCGTGCCATGCAACGTCCGGAAACCTGATGGGTCACCTTATCCAGTCTTGAACCGAGTGTCAATTTCACGTTTTGCTTTCAATAATGTTTCGTGAAACAACAGTTTTAGTTTCTGCGTGTGAAAATCAGATTGTTTCACGAATCTGTGAAAATCAACAAGTACCGGTACGAAGGCTACATATTCTTACATTTGTGAAAATACTTTCACGTTTTGGCTTGAAACTAACTTCAATTTTACATTCGCAAAGCTAATTTCACATCTGTGAAACTGTCAAAATCAAGTGGAGTGGCGTTTCCGGACCTTGCTGTACCATAATGTCTTGGCTGCGACGCAGGGGTATCGTGCGTCCAACCGGTACGGCGAAATTTTGCTCCTTCCAATACTAGCTAGCTAGGCTAGCTGGCAAAACAACTCATTTCTCAATATCTTTCGCGAGAATATTGATCCCTATCAACAGCTGATTGCAGGAAGTGCTTTACGGTACGGTAAGATGATTGGAATTCGCAACTGTTTGCTCGCCTTGGTACCAGTATTGTTGGCGGCAGGCGTCTCGGGTCAAGATGAGTTCCCACTGGTAGAAACATCGCTCGGTTTCATCGGAGGATCGTATGGTGCCGATGGCTTTACCGAGCAATTCTTTGGCATCCAATATGCTAATGTCCCGGAACGTTTTGCCCGTAGCGAGGTGATTGACGAGCCATTCGAGGATGATTATTACAACGCCAGCTCCTTTGGCCCCAAGTGTTGGCAAGAGAATGCCGACCCAACAGAAGATGAATATAGTGAATTCGACTGTCTTGTGTTGAACATTTACAGGCCCACGTTCCCAGATGGCGAAGAGCCACTCTCTACCATGGTTTGGATACATGGAGGAAGTCTTATTTCTGGTGCTGGTGAAGACGACGACGGTACCTATTTGTCTCTCTTACAAAACGTCATCGTCATCACGATTAATTACCGTCTTGGAGTCCTGGGTTTTATTGCTCAAGATGAAGACGGAACCGGTGGTTTGAACGGGATGGATGACCAAATCAATGCGTTGAAATGGATCAACCAACATATCGAAAGTTTCGGAGGAACCAACTCTTCCATTACGATCTTTGGAGAGAGCTCTGGAGGTGACAGTGTTACTGTGCTCTCCGTGTCACCTCTGGCGTATGGGCTCTTCCAGAGAGCCATTGTCATGAGTGGACCTGCTGGTTTGGGGTGGCGCCCCTTCAAGCCAGACAAAGGCTGGGAAGTGACAGAATCTACACTTGCTCATCATGGAGCTGCCAGCATTGAAGCATTGAAGAGTGTCGACGACTTTCCGGCCCAACAGATTGTTACCTTTTCCCCCGAGTTTGAATACCTTGAAGCCTTTCCCGACTTTGCCCAAATGATCGACAGCAAGTACACCATTGATGGCTTGGTTCTCTCAGACCGTCCTCATACTCTCTACACCAACCCAGACAATATCAACCCGGAGGCCATGATGATTGGTTCCAACAGCTATGACGGCACTTTGGGCCTCAGCGACCCCAGCTTTATGAACGGTTTCGTCTTGGATGAGGCCATGAGAAGCGTGTTTGGAGACGACTTGGGTGATGCCATTTTTGCGGCGTACAATCCGAATGATCCGCCTTATGCTGGATTCGCCAATGCCACATACGCTGCCACCATTAATATCGAAGGCGACTACCAAGTGACATGTCCCACCCGTGAACTCGCTGCAAAAGCAGCTGCAAGTGGATACGAAGGTCCCGTTTACTTGTACAACTACCAGCACTTTTTCCCGGGTGATTTGAACGCCCTGTTTGTGGGAGACGACGTGGATGTGAATCGAGATGGCTGGGCGTCTCATGCTTCGGAAACGTTTGTCTTGTTTGGCACGGATATTGGTGAGGCGTTTGGCTTTCCGTTCTTTGACAATGCTACAATCGCCATGTCAGAGGAACTCATGGCCAGATGGGCCACCTTTGCCAAGACGGGAGATCCCAATCTTCCAGAGTATGCCACTTGGACTAGTATGAGCAACACGGGCATTTCCACCCCCAATGAAGAAGGAGCTGCCAAGAACGTGCCATGGCTCGTCTTCCGTGATGGCACCAGTGCCATGGTGGATGACACCGAAACCAAGGCCAGCCAATGCGATCTATTTTTTGAAAGCTACATGCAAAACGAGGGAAACGTGGAAGAGGGGGGCATCCCTCCCCCCGAGGAGTCATCGCCAGATGTGGAGGACGTTATTGGCATGGAAGAAGCCTCACCTGACGAAGAAGCCTCACCGGAGGAATAATAAAGTTGAAGCCTATTACGGTTCCCCAACCTCTCCTTGCTCCCGCTTCATTGTTGTGCATGTCGATGTGGTCGAAAAACAAGTTTCACTGAAAGCCAAGCAAGTAAACGACGCCATTTTGTGAGTGAACTTGCTTAGCTAGTTCAGTCACTTGACGTTTTGCTAAAATCGTCGTAGGTTCAGTTGTTGCAGTTCCGGTTCTTTGACAATGCTACAATCGCATGTCAGAGGAACTCATGTCCAGATTGGGCCAACTGTGCCAAGAGTGCTAGCTAGTATGCCAAAACTTGGCTGGACGAGTAACATGTAACACGGGCATTTCTATCCCCAGCAGCCAGCCAAAGAAGGAGCTGCTGTGAAAGCTCACTGATCTTCCGCGATGGTGGTACCAGTACCATGGTGGCTGCAGTGACACCGAAACCACTGCGATCTATTTATTTGGTGACAGCGTGACAGCACACGTAAAACGAAGGAAACGAGGAAGAGGCGGTCATCCCGCCTACTAGCTAGAGGGGGAGTCATCGCCCATGTGGAGGACGTTTTATTGGAATGGAAGAAGACGATGACGGCCTCACCCGAGGAATAAAAGCCTGCAAAGAAGTCGCCTTCCCTGTTTCGATTTCTCCGGAGTGGAATCAAAGGAAAGTAGATCCCGCAGCAAGATAGTCATTGTGGGTTAGAGTTCCGTTGTAGAAGACCGTAGGATCCGTCTTTGCTGAAATAGATTTGGGAAAAAGGGAAAAAGAGAGTCTCAGTCGAGTCTTTTGTTGCAGGCATGCAGGCACATTCATGTACACAACTACCAGGTAGAAACAAAAAGGTGTTAAGGGAAGCGGAAGTAGATGCTCCTGTGCTCCTTATTTCTCAACCCTGCCTCTGCTTTTGCTTCATGCTTGCTGTCATCCAAATGGCTGGCTAGCTACCGGTAGCTCCCGTACGGTACCGGTAGCTACCGGTCGATGGTCGATAGCGATACCGGTAGCCACTCAGCAATACTGTAGAGCATAGATGCCAGCATCTCATTTCAAGAAGGTACTGGTCATTGGATGCACCTAGATTTTGGTATACATCAATCGAGTCATCAATGACAGTAGTTGAATGATGATGGGTCATCGGAAGAGTCATGGTCTTCAATTCCGAAGAATTGGAATTATCGATTACTCAAGAGGGGAGTCAACCAGTAAAACCCCAAGACATCAATGACGATGTCAGTCATTGCAGGCAGAGCTGCAGGTCTACGAGCTCACATTTTTTATTGTTTTATTTATTTGTGAAGGCATTGCGGCATTTTCAATCAAGTATTGACAGTCTGAGTTTCTTTTACACTATTGTTTCGCTTGACAACAACGTCAACGGACCTCCCGCCTACTCTTACTAGCTAGTAACATTAGCCAAGGTGAACCCATCAAGCCAAAACGAAGCGCAAAAAGCACACAATTCTCAAAAGTTTATCACCAAGCAACAACTTCTTTGACAGTTCCGTACGGCACTGTTGCCAGGTCTTGATTTATTTTCGTATTCGCTTCCAGCATTGCTCACCATGACAACCGATTCCCACTCTTACGAATGGACCAAGAAGCGTCCGCTGGACCCAGAGAGCTCTGTTTCTCGCAGTAGAGACCCTCCTGGACGAAGCTTCCTCCCTCCACTCAAGAAACGTCATTTGGACGTTCCGGTGAAGAAGCGCCAAGACGCAGAATCCCCTTCACCAGCTCCACCCGTTGTTGCCAGCACTACGAGCGCTCTTGACAAGAACAATGCTGCTGCTGCTCTGATTGCCAATCACCCCGCCATTCAAGCCATGCAGGCCCTCAAGAATACGAGTAAGCAGCAGCAACCAGCCGTGTCCCTCTCTCCTCAAGACATTGCGGCCCGGCTAAAGGCGTTTGAAGAAGCCCAACGTCGGTCCAAAGCCAGTCGCGAACTGCTGGCCAAGGCCACTCAAGAACTACAGAGAGCCAAGCAGGTCCAACAAGAACAACGACTCGTCAAACTCATGGCCATAAAAGCGGCACTGCTGGGTCCACCCAACAGCAGCAGCAGCAACAACAGCACTGCCAGCAGCCTCCAACAGGGTGCCGACGGTAAAACCAACCTAGCACGCTTGTCACTTGGTCTTGGATCGTGTGGCAGTCGCAGTGGGTCCCTGGCTCTTGGCGGAACGGACGTCTTGGCTGCCATGACTGGGGCGGCCTGGTAAAAAAGTGCCATCTTTTTGTGTCGCCCTGATGTCCTGTATGTTGGTGTGTGTTTGGCAGTTGGATGGATGTTGGGTTCGTTCATATAAACGGAACAGGAAAGTGGCTGGTTTTCTTTCGTTCTCGCTTTGCCGGGGGGAAACGCAAAAGCAAGAAAAAAGAAAAACTGCAAGGACGAGTCACACCCAAGTATTTCATAGCATCATAAGTCGAAGATTCATAGTAGCTACTGTTTGTTTTTAAACGGATACACTGAACAGTTCACGGAAGCCACCAACAGCCCTCCACACGGGCCCATCCCAGTTCCCACTGAGTGGTCCGACCACAACGGCACACAAACACGGGAGAGGTTACTTTGGGATGGTCCAGACATAAGAACATCAACTTTTACGCTATGGTCTCTGTTGGCATCTTGCTTTGCTAGCCAGCCAAGGCAATGGCCACAGCTTGGGACATCGTCACACAGACCCTCTTGTCGTGGGGGTGACATAGTACCGTTGATCAACGCCCTACTGCTGATAGGTCAAATCCTGGCTACTAAGGAACCGTGCTACAGGTCACAGCATGAAGATGCCCACCGCTCCGTTGTAGCGTAGTGACAGTCATAGCGACCCGCTCCTCGTTCATGGGGCGGTGGCTGCTGAACGGCGGCAGAAGACTATGTAGATAGTACGGTAACCGTGCTGGTATGAGAGAGCATCGCCCTTTACTAATATGACAATGAAGCTGGTACGCTCCAACTTCATATCCTGCAACTAATCAACGGAAACGACTCAGCTGCCCATGCCTTAGGGCACGCTTCGTGCCAGCCTTGAAAAAGGTCCTCCGGACGAATAGTCAAATCCTGGCTACTAAGGAACCGTGCTCTAGCCCTCGTTCATGGGGCGGTGGTGAACGTCGGCAGTAGGCAGACTATGTAGATAGGACGGTAGCCGTGCTAGTAGTTTAGGACCGCCCTCTTACGGCAATGAAGCCGGTACGCTCCAACATCGTGCAACTCTAAACGACTCGACTCCACTCAGCTGCTCGTGCCCGGTAGCTAGGGCGCTTTTCGTGCAAGCGCTGAAGAAAGTCCTCCGGACCAGTAGGTAGTCTCCCTGTTCCACCGAGACTGGATACTTTTACTACTCAGCCATTCGGAAGATGCACCATAGACTTTCCGCAGACAAACTAACATTGGCGCCCAATCGTAAGGCTGCAGGGGAGCCATCATCACAAGTGGCTGCCAGCGCGTGCGCTTGAAGCAACTGTATGTTGCCAGTGCCTGGTATGGTACGAAGGAATGACGGTGCCACTACAGTTGTGTCCTCTCGATGCTCGTTCGTTCAATGCATTAGCAGCCAGTGTGTATGGACGAGACGCTGCGATCACCTCCTCCGCAATGATAAACCCAAACAATGGGATGGTTGGTTGATCGGTCGTCTGATGCCTGAAATGCGCTCCTGGCGCGGTCGAGATATATCCTGGTCTTCCCTCTCAAAAGTTGTGGTATTCAGTACTCCTTCCAGAATCTTCCCAGAGTGGACGCTTTGGCGTGCAATCTTCATGCATGATACTAGTTCTGGCGCACCCATCCTTCTCCAATAGATGAACTACCAGGTACCGTACGTCGTTGTCCCCAGGTTTGGGGTGCTCTCAAAGAAGATTGTGGCTGTCGAATGATTCAATCAGGTTGAGACAAACTAGAGAATCGAACGTTTCGTCGCCCGAGCGGATGTCTCTGGAGCCTCTCGGTTTTGACCAAGGATTTTGGTCTTTTGAGCGATAGCGAGGAATCCCTTTGGAGGAGCGAGATCCAGTACCCGTATCGTCTCAGATCCATGTACTGCGGCGAAGCCAGGCTCCATTCACTGGCATCTATCCAGAACCAACGGAATGCCTGATTGTATCCTCAGACATGCACTGGAGATACCACTGCCCAATGTTGTCGCGTTTCCACCATTTGCCCTCTCCTGACATTAGGGAACAGTACTTGTGCAGCTGTCCGCAAATGCAAATGTAGCCGTCCGCACATGCGATGCCAACTCTTGACCAGAGACTCCTCGAGACGAGAGGGTTGCCTCTAGGCCGCAGCTGATCCCTTCCTTGGACCTTTCCATGGGTGCGTTGGTAGTTCTCTGCTGGCAAATTTGGAGGTGCGGGGTCCTCTTCCTGTGGCACCAGAGCAGGGCAATGGCCGCATGTCCAGTTTCGATGATTGTGATGAAATGGGCACGGACCCTAGCCTCTTCTTTTTCCGTTTGGCCACGGGTTGTCCCACGAAGGTCGCCTGAGAGAAAGGAAGTCCATAGCCCATAGGGACTCCGTCATTCTTGTAGGAGGATCAAACGAGTCTCTGACTGCCGGAGCTGAAGATGGAAATCCTGCGCCCTCGTAAAGCACCGATGTCTGATGAGCCCAGGTGGTCCTTTCAGTTTCGCTCTTTTCTGGGATGATCTTGGATAGCATCGCTCGTCTCTCGGTAGCGCATGGGCGGCTGTGTCTAGCTCTCCAGTAGGGAAGGTATGAAGGAATGCCTCGACCATCCACACCTTCTTCCTGTCGCTGGTCCGCAGGTCCGCGGAGAGTAGTATGATCCGGCACTCGCCACCGTCTGTGGGGCACGTGAAATCGACGGAAATCTTTTACTGAAATTTGAGTCGATTGAGTCAAATAAGGGAGCAACCATCCGCCTTGATGGCGATGGCGCATTGAGCGCACCGTGGTGGTGGACTTCCGCTTTGAGTGGCCACTATACTGTAGAAACCTCCATCCTCTATCCAACCTTAGGGGGACATTTGCCACCCTTGATCTGCAGTGGTGACAGAGACCAAGATGAAACAGCCAGATGAGTGGGTTGAAAGGCAACGAGGAGCTCTCTTTGGCGACCTAGATTCGCAAGACCTCGTGGGGAGAGGTCGGATGAGGTGGGCATCAAGTCAAAGCGAGATTCTACAGCCAGATTGTAGTAAATGAACATGAACACACCTATTGATTACTCAGCCCTACTTTGGCTTCTCTAACTGGTACTGGTAGTAAGGACCGCAGTCCTTATGGGCACGACAAATCTAAATCCACTTTGCTCGAGTCGAGTCTCGTTGCGCAACCCAAATGTCTCCTGTGACACTACGAATTCAATTTCAGCAACCGCAACCGCAGCATATGATTCCTCCGCAAGGCAGCAACCGCACAACAATCTACATGTACTACCGCATCATCTAATTCCCACCGGGGTTGCGGCGCTGATTCATGACTCGCATGAGCAGTTCTTGAGCTGTAGTGAATTGTGGAGACGACTCCGCCCCTCCGTCAGCTGCGTTACTCTTCATTTCTTGATTCGAAGTACCAACCACTGCCTGTTGTGGTTGTTGTTGCTGTTCTACACGAGGCGCCAACGACTGGGCCAAGGCAGCTGCGAGCATGGAATTCGCATCACCCGACGACGACCCGAGGAGACTTTGCTGCAGCTGTTCGGCCAACAGTCGATCGACACCAAGTCGCTCTTGTTGCTGCGGTGGCGGGGGTGGTGGTTGTGGCGCAGCATGTGCCTGCTGGAGAAGCTGACCAAGATGCGTGCCCTGGCTTTGTAATAACAGAGCCTCCAACGCGTTCGCCGTCGAGTTGGAATTTGGTTGGGTACGAGCCAACAATTGCATCGTCAAATCATGATTTCCAAGCGGATTTGCCTCTGGTCGTGATGCCGCGGCTGGAGGGTGGGGTGCCGCTGGAGGTTCTGCCGGTGGCACAGGGGCAGGCGCCGAAGGGTTTGCGGCGGCTGCTGCCGGAATAGTAGCCCGTCTCTGCTCCGCCTGGGCCTGCTGAACAGAATTCTCCAACTGAAGAACGGCATTGAGATGCCCCGATTCTTGCAGCGATTGCTCATGCTGCTGACCGAGGGCTCGCACAAGTTGCATAGTGGTTGTCATGGAAGCGTCTTCCGAATAAAGGCTTCCGGGATGGTCCAAGAACTGCTCCGACAGCTGCAATATCTTGCGGAACAAAAATTCCTTGGAGAGGGAGGAATCGTCCACTGGCAGAGAGTCCAAGTTTGCTGTGGATTGAAACACAGCACTTGCCCTCTCCAGGCTTTCAGCGTCGGCAGCGGCTTGATGCCTCGGTCGACGGGTCCGATTCTCTCTCTTCATCGCCTTGACTTCGGCAATGAGACGTGCCGTCTTGTCAGCCTCAGACTCATCAGCTCTGGCGTCTCCATCGCTCGTCTTTTGGTGCCTTGCAAAGACATCTTGTACGTCCGAGTCCTACGGTACAAGAGAAATGGCAGACGAGAACAGAAATGAAATAGAAACCAAAAGCAACGCCGTGAGACAAAGGTATTGGATGCATCCACAAGAAACAAGAATAACCCCACGGCATATGACTTACCATGCGCATGTGCTTTACCAAATGAGCGTGGTCTCTTTGAAACAAACTGTTTTCGTAGGTGACAATGCCCGGCGAAACTCGATAGGCTGCCACCCTCCTGAATCCCCAACGGTTGCAATTCCGGATGAAACCACTGTAGTCCTTAGCCTTGAAGTATTCCGTCAAGGAGGAACTCATCTTTAGGTTCTTGGGGTGCAAGGCGACGGCCTTTCCGTCGCCAACCCACCATATTGATTCCGACGCTATACCTTTCTCTAGTGCGTTCATCATGCGCTCGGCAAAGTTCTTGGGCTTGGGATAAGACAGCTTGCTTGGAGACTCATCACCTGCTTTCTTCCTGGAGGGCATTGAAGCGAAGGCTTGGCCTGCAGTAGCTGATTCTTCCATATCATCCTGATCGTCAACACTGTGGGAAGGATCAGGAGCATCTGAATCCTCTTCCAAAGTGGATTCGTCATCTTCCTTAAGTCTGCCTTTCGCTTCCTCTCTGTCATCCTTTGGCTGCCCTTGTTCGTCTGTTTCCACATCTGTCGACTCATCGTCCTTCTCTTCCTCCTCCTTTATCGAAGATTCTCTCCCTGATGTACAACCATGGTCATCACGCGTGAAGAAAAGCAACAAGATTGGGCCAACAAACATCAGAATGAGATACGAACCCCATACACGAGGAGGTGGGCGCGGATTACCACCTGAGGATTGATTGATACCCAGATAAGTAAGCTGGGTGTCGATGTGTCGATCCTGCACTGCCCCTGCATGCCCTACCTTCTGCGTCCTTTGCTTCCTCGTTGCGCTCAGGAGCAATCTCCGGCTCCAACCTGGCCCTCCGGGCCTCATTCCCTCCAATGGCTCCGCCGCTGCGCTTCATGGTACAGGTCAGAAAGCTCTTCTATCGGTACAACCGGTACCACTTTCCCGGCTCTTCCAATTGGTTGATTGATTGATTGATAGGATACAGCTATTGCAGGTCGGCTATGTATGGAACAGTAATGTCGTCGAGTTGATGTTCCCTGATCCAAGTTTTCACGGTCTTCCACTGATGATGCTAGACTTCCAGATAGGTAGCGGGCGAATGGGCGAAGTCGCTGAGTTCCCTTTTTGTGGTGGTGTGTGTGTGGCCATGCAGCTGCCGTAGCTGTTGTCTGCAATCTGATGGAAGTTGCCCTCTCCGGTAGAAAAGCTACCGTGGACTACTCATGGAAGGATACCGCTCCAGCGGATCTGGCCACCTCTGCCTCAAATACGAGGCCCGAGGGGACATTGAAACCTTGCACAGGCTTTTGCACTGGGCACTGGGTAGACACAGATCAGAAGTCATCTTGACTAAACTACCAGTAAGGTAAAACACGGAATCGTGTGTGTTGAATGTTGGACAAAACAGTGACAAAACGGCGGTTGGGCGGTGTTTTGGCAAGTGGGTTACAGAAGGGAGTTGCGGGGAATGGGACTTTGATGTCCCTCCTTTGGGTCAAACTGTAAGTGTGGGTTAATCTTCCACTTATGAGTTCCTCCTACCGGTATCTTCCAGATTATATGTACGACTGTACTAATTTGCACTAAACATTACGTAAAGCCTTCTAGATTGTGTCATTCTTCCATTTTTAGTAATTTTACCAAACTAAAACGAAATTGAAACATGACCAAGAAGTAGAACAGTAGAACAGGTATTCCCGCAACTCCTTTTATTAGCTTGATGCTGATGATGGTGGCAACTGAACTGGCAGCAACCATTGAACTGGGTTCTCTTTCATCTTTCTACTTAAACACTGTCCATTGCACGTAAGGAAACACTTACAAACATAGAACCAGCCGGCGTACTCTTCGAGTTAGCTTCAAGGAAGTCCGCGCTAGAGTACTGGTACTGGTAGTGCATACCGGTAAGTAGACAAAATGACTACTGAGTACTCAGTACTGAGCTGTACAGCTAATAATTCGTATAAGCTGCTGGTACGATGGTACGTTGGTCAGTGTGCTCACCCGAAGACTTTTTTTAATAGATACTCCAGTGTTTAAGTTGTGTTATATACTTTGGGAAACATTTAGTTAAAGGCCTTCTGAGATGTGGAAACCCAGCTTAAACCGGTTTCAGCAGCTGTACCTGCAAGACAAGTCAAGCAGAAGTGGGTCAAATGCACAGCCCCAGCTCTTCACTGTAGAAAACCCACTCAATAATTAGGTGGCCCCTGCCCCCGAAAAAGATCTCTTTTGGGGGTTGGGAGCAGGGATCGCTAACCAATTGGTTAGGTACTGGTTACTGGTTACTGGTTGAGTAACCAAAAGTTCTAGGGTACTGGTTACCAGTTACTGGTTGAGCAACCAAAAGTTCTAGGGTACTGGTTACCGGTTACTGGTTGGGTAACCAAAACTTTTGGTTATTTTATAGGTAAGTAACCAGTAACCACTGGTTAGTAACCAATTGCAAGTGGTTACCTTGA